TATCCTTATTTTACAGTGCAGAAGTCTGAGAAAGTGAGGCCCAGGGAGCAAGTTCCCTTGCTTGAGGTTCTGGGACTCCCAGCCTCCAGAGTCCATGTCCTCATCACCTGGCAGGCTCAGCAGGGTCCACCCCAGATTTGCCTGCCACACAGCCTGCTGTTGATTGCTAGAGCCAACAACTAGGAAGATTTTTCAGGAGGACTGATTTAGCCTAACCTCCCCTGATCTGCAATCCCCAAAGCACACAGGGACATCCCATTGCTGAGGTCCTCATCGTCCTGGACACTGAAGATCATTTTATGATTTTTTTTAAAAAATTATGATTTATTTATCTTTTATGTGCATTGGTGTGAAGGTGTCAGATCCCTTGGAACTGGATTTTCAGACAGTTGTGAACTGCCATGTGGGTGCTGGGAAGTGAACTTGGGTCCTCTGGAAGAGCAGTCAGTGTTCTTCACCGCTGAGCATTTCGCTGAGCCATTTCTCCAGTCCCTCATTTTATGATTTTTGTGCCCCTTCCTTTTCTTTTGTCTGGAGTTGGGTTCTTTATACATAAGTGGAATCTCCTGGGCAGTTGAGTGTGCCAGTCATACCTTGGGAAGAGCTGGCTCCCACCAGGAGGACAGCTTATTGGCCTGAATACGCCCTGTGTTCCGGGTTCTAGGGCCTTGCTTGGGGGCAGTTGAGGGTGACAAGTTAACTTATCCTACTGGGACTCGGGAGAAGTCTGGGAAACCAAGCCAGAATTAGGCCACAAAAATAATTACAACGGAAAAGTATGGAGAACAAAGGAGGAGAAAGCCACTGCTGTGGGATTGAGCAACGTGATAGCTCCCTGGAGCTATGTGGCCCTCCAGGGGGTGCATGGGTGGGGCCATCACCTGTGCGCCGCAGGGCCCCTCTCCCAGCAACACCGAACCACACAGAAGAAAGGCAGGTCCTATTCCTGACTGCTCGGGACTTCGAGGGCCAGCGGAGAAGAGGGCTCTGAGGAGAGGTGGGTTGCAAGCACCATCTCTTGGGGTGTAGCGAACGTAGGGCAAGCACAGGTCCCTGCTTTCCTCCCTAAGTGAGGGCTGGGGCCTTTAGGTCGTCGGGACAGACACTCCAACATCAGGGTGAAAGCAAAGCTGCGAGGGCTTGCTGAGGAGACTAGGGGGATCCACAGGTTTGGTGGGGCTTCCGTCCTTCCCAGTTCTCAAGGTGTTCTCCAACTCTGGCTTAGCACTGGAGAGGGACACAGACCAAAGCCTGCCTAGCTGACCCCACACTGACCTCAGGATCCTCGGACTCGGCCCGAGGGCGCGGTAGGAGGCCTCAGAGGAGAGGGCTTTTGGCTTGAGAAAAGAGCCGCTGGAAGGGGTTCCAAAGATGGCCTCTCCCTTAATTCCTTTAGAAACAGGGAAAGACTAGGCAGGAGAAGAAAGGCCGCCAGAAAGGGCGGGAGGCCTGGCAGGGTGGCCAGGCCTGGAGAGGAGGTGCCCAGGGCTGGTGCTGGGAGGGAAGGAGTTAAGGCGGAGAGGGGGGCAGCCTATGGCAGGAGGACACACCTGTGCGCAGGGCAGCAGGCGGGCGGGGCCCAGGTGAGGCGCCAGTGGTGCCCGGCAGGTGAAGAAGGAAGAGGAAGAGTGGCGGCCAGGCTGGCTCTAGGCGGTTGAATCCGGGCCTTGATACCCCTTCCTTTCTTCTGCACCACTCTGGGGGTCAGACGGGTCTGGTGCCAGGTAAAGGCCACCGCTCATGGGGTCCTGGGGCTGCGCTAGGAACTGTAGAGCGTAGTGAACTGATGTGTATTAGGGCCTGGGACGGGCTGTGGAGCGGTAGGGGGCTGGCTCTCAGGTGTACAGCAGAGGGGTACGAGAGGGGGCAGGGCTGCTGGAGCTGATTTTGACCTCAGGGATGGGCAACTCAGGGTAAGCTTGGTGTTGAGTAGCAAGGCTCACCCGGAAGTGTCCCAAATGACGCGGAGGTGGGGGATGGGAGCCAGAGATCTGCGGCTTCTCCTCTGGGTGCTTGGGCTTAGCCAGGACTGATCTTGGAGGTGGACTGGTTGGGTAGGGGCCCTCGTCTTACCCAGCAGTGTTTGGGTGCTGGTTGGGAGTCTCTAATACTGCCGGGTAATGATGGAGGCCCCTGTCCCTGGGTCAGCGTCGTCCATTGCTTCAGGCCCCTGGTTCCTACCTAATAGCAAACTCCTTCCTCTCCCCCACATACCCTGAAAGCCCCTTCTCCTGAGCTAAGGGTGCTGCAGAAATGGTTCTCGGGTTGGCTGCTCGCCCACCGGAGGAACACAATGGCCCCGGCCCCTCCTCCAACCCAGTGTGATTTGTCATCTGGTAGACTGAGAACCTACCTGACACCGACTTTGGCCTTGGGATTGAGCACGCACTCGAGCCCCCAGCCAGCCAGCTATCGGCTGGCCACTTCGCTCTAGCACCTGATCCGTGATCGTCTGGTTTTACGTTGGCCGGCTCTGGGTCCATCTTCCAGTGCAGTGTTGGATGGTTGAAGTACGAAGCTCCTAACACTGTCTGGTAAAGATGGCCTCCGGGTCAGTTCCCTCAACAGTGACCTTCTTGGGGCCTTGAAGACCATGGAGGCCACCGGACCAACAACCTCTGACCTTTAACCTTCTGGATGGGGTGTGTATGAGTGACTCACTTGGCAAAGGGGAACAATGGGAAAGAGACAAAATGGCTGCCTCCAGAACAGCAAGATTTGGAAACAACTTGGTCCTTAGGCATTCCCACCGTCTTTCCACCCTGGGAACATGAGTATCTGTTCCCAGGAAACAAGGAATATTGGTTTCCACATGAGAGAAACCAGGGAGCTGAAGCTGCCGCACCCTCCAGCCCCGTCTGAGGTTCACCTTTTCTCCTATTGCATTTGATAGTTTCACATTATCTACTCAGGAGGAAAAAGATGGCAAAGGTTCTAGTGAGGGGCAGCTTATGAGCAATGGCTTTAACTTTCCAGTCCTTGGATGCAGTGTCTAGGGCGGTGGGGGCGGGCAGCCCACCTCCACAGGGATAACCCTACACGCAAATAGCTCATCGTATCTGGGGACTAAGTAGCAGTGCTAACAGTGTGCGTGGCTCACTGGGCTTTGGAACACAGAAGCCCTCAGGAGGAACACACATGATCTCCCCATAGCTACACAGAAGCTGGTAACCAAGGAAGCAGCTCCCGTTGGGGTCATCAAATTTTCAGTTTGGCTCAGCAAAGCCACAGCTGCTCCAGTTTTACAAAAGATGTTATTAAATCAGCAGGTTCATTTGGTAGACATGGCGGGTGCGGTGAAGGGGTGTAGTTGGGCCTTTGACTGAGGTCTGCTGTTCCCACCCAGTTTAGGGCCTGTTTTGGAGCCTGCAGGCTCTGAGGACCCGCTCTAAGGTCAGATCACTAGTATTGCCAGACTGCTTGTGCCACCTGCTGGCAAAGACCCAGAGTGCACCCTCTCTAACCCACTCAGAGGCAAAACCCTGGCTCCAGTTTAAGTAATAAAAGTTTTATTGAGAATTTCTGGGATGGTGGTTATCTCCCCCCACGGGGGTGGGACAACAGTGGAGGAAATCTCCGAGAAATCACACTGCTTCTCCCCTCCCCCAGGCCAACAAGGAGGAGGAAAGCCCTTGCAACAGCTGGTCTTCAGTCTTCCTTAATCCAAGAGGGCCAAGTACAGAGGACTCTGTCACATGATGCTTACAGGGTGGGGCGTGCTTGACCTCCCTAGCTGGCTCCTCAAAATTAGCCGAGAAATGCATCCACTCCTCTGCTGGCAGAGTTCTTGAGGCCCACAGCTCATTTCTTAGCCTTAATGAGGCTGTCGCTGTAGAACAAAGGGAAAAATGTTCCTGATATTATGGGGGTCATAAATGTGAGATGCAAAATACACCAAACTATCCCCTTTCCAAAGGAAGGTCTGACTGTGGGGAGGGGAAGCACAGAGGCAGGTCCAGGAGCAGGTGGTCCCCATGTCCCTGCAGCGAGGATGCAGTTCCTTACCTTCCCCTACAGCCAGCACATCAGGGAGTCAGCGGGAAACAGGAAGAGAGAGATATGATTGTTAGCTTCAGGCCCCAGCTGCCCTTGACCCTTCCACCAGTCCCCCTCCCCGTGAGGGCTGCTCTTTCTCGGGCGCTGCTTCAGCCCTGATACTTTCATTCCCAGCGAAGCTGCGTTCAGGTTCTCCAGCAAGAATTCAAGAACTCTGTCGGTCACCACTTTTCACTGAAGTATTTATAAATAAAGTGCCTTTTACACAAGAAATCCTATTTTGTTTCGTAAAGTCAGTTCTGGAGAATGTAACAGAGGAACTGCCAACCAGTCAGACACACTAACTTTTCTGACCTTGGTCTTCAGAGAGACTGTCAAGGACCCCATGATTAACAGATTCCAGAACCCAAGGACTCTGCTCTCTGCACAGTGGCATCTCTTACCGAGTAAAGCTTTCATCCTGTAGATTCAGCACAAGGTTGTCGGCCGTGAGATAGATGCGGTTCTGGGACGTGGCGATCTACAGGACAGGGAGTGGATGCCTGTGTTAGCAGAGGCCTCAAGCCTCCCCTGTGATTCGGCGGCCCACCCAGTAACCAACAAGAGGCTCCTGCTCTATCTGGTGTAAGAACACAAGCAGTGAGAAGGCTCAGTGTTACACTTCCTTAACACACCCCACAAACACAATGCTTGGGGAGTCACTCTTTGGGGGGGGGGGAGGCGGCCAAGGAAGTTGTTCAAGAAAAGACTCAAATCAAGCTCTAATCCCCTTGTGTGATTGTGTGTAACTGGATACTTTCCATCTTGGTGGGCAGCCCTGGGAGAGTGGGGCCTTCCTCTCACCGTCTTAGAGATGTTCTGGGCAGCCCGAATCTTTCGGAGCTTGATATAGCCGGGATTCTTGCTCAGTGCTTCTCCGAGGTAAGCAGGCAGGGTTAAGGGTTTATCTAAGCCAGGTTCCACCTGCCACAACGGTGCACTCCCACCCGCCCTGACCTCTGGGCTGTCAGATTCAAGGTTGCGCTCACAGAGCCGCTCACACTTTGACCACCCCTTGTGGGCCTCCCTCCAGGATGCTGCCAGGAACTGTGGTGGCAGCAGACATGGAGGCAAGGCCAGCAATGCTAGTGATCTGGCCTTACAGCGGGGGAGGCAGGTCTCAGGTACTCCCACTAAGATTTCAGATCTCATCACACACTCCCCACCCTCCCACCCCCGGAAGCCAAGGGTCAGCAGGCACAGTCGCATTCGCCTTGGTCTCATCAGCCAGCCCACAAGGGAGATGGGAAGCAGGGCGTCCCAGAGGCCAGGCCAAGCTCTCTGCGACACAAGGATATCATCTTGGCAGCCTCGGCCTCCCCCTCAGCCTGCACGATCTTCTGTCGCTGTTCCTGCTTTGCTTTTTCCACCAAAAACTGGGCCCGCTGGGCTTCTTGCTGGGCTGTGGTGGCAAGTGAATGAATGAGGTGATGGCTGTGGGATGGCAAGGCTCCAACCACACGCAGCCTTTTTTCCCACCTCCAGGAGCCCACCGATCTACTCCTCTGGCGGCTTACCCACTTGTTTGGCTTCTACAGCAGCTGTGTACTCTCGACTAAAGCTCAACTCAGTGATAGCTACATCGTCCAGAATGAGGCTGAAGTCCTTGGCGCGCTCCGTGAGCTCTCTTCGGATCAACAGGGACACCTGAGACAAGGGTAGAGTAGAGCAGGGGGAAGGGAGGGGCGGCCTGAGGGGATCAGAACTGGAAGGAAGGTGGTATTGCTAGAACCAGCTGAACACCAGAGCTCCCAAGTATGGACAGCAAAGCCACCCCTTCTTAAGTCCTCACACATTCATTAGGAAAAAAAAAAAAACGATTCAGTGTCTTCATGCAACAGAAGAGGCAGCACCAGAAAGGTGGCATGACCGCCCCACATCACACTGACCCCTAATCTTCCCTTTTTTCCATACAATATATATCGGCTTAGCTTCCTGCCAAACAAGAGAGGAATTTCTTTAGAGATGTGGCTAAGACTATTACCACCATTGTTTCCTATGCTTCCTTCTTAACACCTGGTATCGGGTTCTACAGTTGTTCCGCTTTATTTCCCAGAGTGACAATCAGCACAGCTTTCCCACATCAAATTGGCTATGCAGCCAAAGATAACCCTAAACGTCTGCCGTTACCTCTGGAGTGCTGGGGTTACAGGTTTAAATAATGCTTAGGATTAAACCCAGGGCTCGTGTATGTATGCTAGGCAAGCACTCACCAGCTGAGCTACAGCTCCACCCCCACATCCTTCTACTTCTATAAAATGCCCTTTTAGTAGCCAGGCCCCTGGACCAAGGTGAGACATGCTGCTGCCATGCAGACAGCGCTAGGAATCAGACCTGAGCCCGCTGGGTAATCAGCTGCGAGGCATTGAACTTGGCCACCACACTCTTGAGCACCTCGTTGACAATGGACGGCAGCACTCGCTCCTCATAGTCTAGCCCTAGGCGCTGGTACATGCTGGGGAGCTCCTGGGCATTGGGTCGAGACAGCACACGCAGGGAAATGTTCACCATCTGCAGGTCTGAGGGCGGGGCCAGCAGTGACTAGTTAAGGCCAAGCTCCCCATCAGCTGACCCCCCAGTGTGGGCACAACTGTAGGTCTCCCCCTAGACTCCAACGACTTGAGACCAGAGTTGTCAATTTTCTATTCCCAAAGCCTATGACTTAGCAAATGAATGCACTAAACACATCAAAAACAGCACAAAGAAGTACAGAGCTGTGCGCTACTTGCCTCTGAGTACACACATGAATGAGGCAGAGGCCTGGGGGAATCTCGCAAAGGCAGGGCTCCTAATTTTGGTCTACAAGGAAGCAGCTAGTGAAAAGTGGAGACAGTTTCTCCAGAGCCAAGATATACTGCAGATGTAATCAACCAGTCAACAGAAAAAGGCCTTAAAAAGACTTGCATCTGGGAGCAAGGACGACCATAAAGAAAGGCAATTCTAGGATTCAGTTTGGTAGGCAGAAAGTACATCAAAACTGTTATGCCCAAATCCGCGAAGTCCCCGCTAAAGCCAACAAGGACACCGAGTCCCGTATGTAGAAGCAAAGAGCCTTTATTTTAATCAAGTTTGCAAACTCGGTCTCTCCGCATGTCCAACCCATTGAATAACCGGAGAGCCCCGAGCTCAATTAGAATTGGGTTTTTATAGTAGTAAAGGTGGGGATGAGGAGCTTCTGAGGTTTAGGACCCCTGATTGGCTGACATTTGTCTAGGGGTGTGCCGGTGAATGTGCGCTGGCAGGTGGTCCTATCTACAGGAGTTGGAATGTTAGGCATTTCCTTTAAACTACTGAGATTCAGGCCTCTTATTAAATTTATCAAGGGCCAGAGTTCTACTCTGGCAGGTGATAATGGTTGGAAATAAAGAACTTTCTTTGGGTGACCTGTTCATATTTAGTTTATCGTGGCTGACCGCACAAACACGTGCCAGCATACCGCGTGTTGGAACTACTGTTTTAAGACACGAGGCACGTTCTTTGGAAGATATAGAAACCAAGACCTCAGAAACACTACCATTTCTGGGGGCCTTGCCAGGCTCAGTTTACTTGTGTCCCCACCTGCCATGCAGCTCCCAATTGCCCACACTTACCTTTCGAACCCGTAGGGGAGGAGATTTTTCGGGGTCTGGCCCGAATGTCATAGATGATGGGGTACTGGAACCAGGGGATCCTGGAGAGGAGAGGTCAGGGACAGGAATTGGGAAACTGCAGTTTTATTGATTTTTGACCAGTTTTCCCCCTCCACTCGTCTTTGCGCCTGCTCCTCCCCATAACTACAGACATGGAGATTCTCTTTTCCCTTTGGAGAACAGCCCTTTATGCAATGCTGGTGTTTCGGAGCACCTACTGTCCTAGAAGCGGGGTGGTGGGGGTGAGGAAGGGAAAAAGCAGCACCGAATCCTGCAGTGAAGTCTGGCTATGGCCGTCAAGGGTGAAGGGTCAGGGCCCGTTTGCTCTGCCCGCCATTACCTAAAGTGAAGTCCCTCGGCCAGGATTGTGTCCTGTTGCACGCCGCCGATCCGGTTAAAGAAGATGGCTCTATGGCCACCTTCCACTGTGGAGAGAGGGGTGGGAATCAGGAGAAGGCGCTGATGAAAGAGTTCGGTGCAGAAGGGACGGGGATGAGGGAGCAGGTAGGCGCGGACAGCTTGGGGAGGCAGGTCAGTGGGGCAGGGGACCAAGAGGTGCAGCCAGCGGAAGGAGGTTGCTTACCGGTGAACACGGATTCGCGCACGCCGTAGGCCACGGCCCCGGCCCCCAGCAGCAGCTTCAGCGCCGTGCCCATGCCCCGAGGCCCGGCGGGCAGGCGTCCCGCTAAATCCTTTAAGTTCTGAGCCATGTCTGGTCCTCCCGAAGGCGGCGGCACCGGAGGTCAGGAGGGGGTGCCCGCCAGCCTCTACCCCACTCCAGTTTTCAGACCTCGCCCTGCACACGAGGATTGGGGGCCGTGGTGCTCGCAGGAGAAAGGGCACCGGAAGTGCGCTCCCTCCTGAACCCGCCCCTTTGCTTAGGCGGACCCGAACTTCGCGCACAGTAATAGCGCGTCTGGAAGTCCCGCCTATTTAGGAGGCGTGCCCTCCTCGAGAGGCTTCGGTAGTTCTGGACTACAGCTATCGCCATTTCCAAGCGCCCTCTTTCAAAATGGCAGCTGGGAGGAAGTTTGCAGTGAGGGCGGACGCAAGGTTCTAGTTTAAGGAAGTTAGCGCAATTTCCGGTCTGCTTACAAGATGGCTGCGCCCTGTGGTGGTTTCCAACCTCGTGAACGGCGTTTTGCAGCGCAGGAGCAGGACTGGGAAAATGCGCCGCCTAAGAGACCCCGGCTTGGGGCAGGAAGCAAGAGCGGAGGCCGTAGACTCATTGTGGTGCTGGAAGGGGCCAGTCTGGAGACAGTCAAGGTAGTTTGGAACAGTGTGGAGTAGTAAGTTGGTTAGGTTCTGTGGGGACCAGGGACACAGAATGGATGGAAAAAAACTGAGCAGTGAACCCACTTTAAGTTCTTTGAAAGCATTAAGTTCTCTTCTACCTTAAGGACACTGAGTGTTAGTAACTGCAAACTCTTTATAGTGGCTTTTGTATCACTACTACTTACTTCATTATTGTTTTGAGATAGGGTCTTACCATATAACCCAGACTGGTATAGAACTTGCCATCCTTCTGCCATTGCCTTAGCCTTCTGAGTGCTGGAATTGTAGGCATGGGACACCATATTCAGCTAACTATTGAGTATCTGTTGCTGTTCTATTTTACTTTGTTTTGTTTTTCAAGACAGGGTTTCTCTGTAGCTTTTGGAGGCTGTGCTGGAACTTGCTCAGTAGACCAGGCTGGCCTTGAATTTACAGAGATCTGCTTGTCCTTTGTCTCCTGAATGCTGGGATTAAAGGTGTGCGCCATCACTACCTGGCCTATTTTACTTTTTGAGACAGGGCCTCACCCTCTACCTCATGCTGGCCTAGCACTTGGTGGCCTCCTGAAGCCTGTGATTACAGGTGTGAGCTCCCACATCTAACTGGTGATGCTGCTGCTTCCTCTTAATAGTGGTTAGACCAAGGAACTGCTATATCAGGCTGGGGGAATGGCTTAGTTAGTGGACTGTTTGCCATGCAAACATGGGTACCTGAGTTCTAACCCCAGCAATTATGTAAAACGGCCAGTCCATGCTGGGCGTGCTCTTGTATGCCTTTGATTCCAGCACTTTGAGACAGATGGGGAGGCAGATCTCTGAGTTTGAGCAAGTTCCAGGCCAGCTACATAAAGAGACCTTGTTTCAAAAGAAAAAAAGAAAAAAAAAAGAAAAGAAAGAAAAGAGGGGCTGGAGAGACGGCTCAAGTGGTTAAGAGCACTGACTACTCTTCAGAGGACCTGGGTTCAATTCCTCAGCACCCATGTGGCAGCTTACAATTGTCTGTAACTTTAGTTCTAGGGAACTTGCCACCCTCACTCAGACATTCATGCAGGCAAAATACCAATACATATAAAATAAAAATAAATAAATTTAAAAAAAAGAAAAAGGTCCATATCGCCGGGCGGTTGGTGGCGCACACCTTTAATTTCAACATTCAGGAGGCAGAGGCAGGCGAAACTCTGTGAGTTTGAGGCCAGCCTGGTCTACAAGAGCTAGTTCCAGGACAGGTCCCAAAGCTACAGAGAAACCCTGGCTTGAAAAACCACACACACACACACACACACACACACACACACACACACACAAAAAAGTCCATCTCAATTTGTAAT